ATATCTAGTGTGGAGAATCAAATAATCCCGCGGTTCTATCAGAAAAGGCGGGGTTAATTTGTCTTACCGGCACGCGGGATCAAGTAGCACGTGCAGTAGCTATAGGCTGTAGTCGGGCACACGCGGTGGTAGAGTCCTATAGGAGGACATTCTCTAGCCGTGCGCTGAGCAGTGCGGATATCGTTTTTTTTTTTTTTTTGTAATTGGAATCGTAGCTTTGACATGTAGTAGCGGGCATTCCAGCGTTTGAATAATGTATTTTACAAATGCATGGTATAGTTTGAGTAGGAGTAACGCCTTTCCGTAGATACATTATGTAGCTTGTATCAATATTAACGCAGGTCCAGCGTTACGCCTAGGCCATCCTGCAGTGGGATATAATTGTTTCCCGCCAAATCGGACACAGATTTCCGGCGATTATCGCCGGTTTTTTCTGGGCGGCAGGTTGTGTCGTGGACGGCGAGAGAGTAAAGGAAAAGTGAATATTTCACATGTACATCATCGGGCTGCATCAGATTTTTTATACTGCTGAACATTGTTTCGTTGAACATTAAACGCCGACTGCACTCTAGGCACACGGGCTGGTACGGCAAATTGTATATTTGCGTTTGAGTTGTTTTTTACTTGAGACGTAGAGGAGAGAAGACCCATATTCACCGACCCTACTCTAGTTAGCCCATGGGCAAGCATTAGTGGATTATTAAGTGTTAATTAGACAATGCACATTCCCGTCATAAACACCTAGGATACCACCAAAGTAAGTTAAAAATAGTGTGTTAGTGTGACCTCTAGCAGCACTATTGACAGCTAGTCAGCACACAGTCTAACGGTATACAACACCAATACATATTACGTACGTAGCAATAAAATGTACAACTGTATGCCTGTCCGCAGAATTTAAGTCCCACTATACTTATCTCTGTTGTAAGATATATAAATCACCTCTGTAATATATATTTGAATAAGTAATGTTATTATTAATATTCTTGAATATATGACATAGATGTATGTCTTTTAAATGAAGTGATATGGATAAGTTTGTAAAATTGTAAAGTGTGAGAGTTATGTCCCTTAATTTAATTGATGTCTAAATTGTTGTATTGTCTTTTGATATGGTTTGAATTATGGTTTCATGGGAATAAATACGAGAGATTGAAAAACAACCAAGTTGTCAGGCGTTTTCATTCCAACTCAGTTACATTAATTGCTAAACCACATTCTATTGCTTTAATATATATTTATATTCCACACAAGTAATAGTGACCAACTTATGCACAGTACCTGAAATCACCGACTTAGATATCTATATCGAAGTCCATACTTAAATGCATGGACGTATACAACGTAAGTTTATTAGGTCTCTTCTTTGAATAAAAAGAGGAAGACATGTCGTTTTAGTACTTGTTCTTATTTGTAGGTTACAATTATATGTGACGAAGAACATTTCAACTTTCGTTATCACAGTAATAATGATATATCATATTATATATTAGATATGTGCTTAAACTTCTTTGCCCCAGGTACGAATGGGGATACTATTCAGTAATTGTAAATTACAGTACAGTAAGGATGTTTTCCACGTTTCATATATAAGCTCAACAAAAAGTAAACGAACAAAGTTTCTCCCTGCAGTACACCATAGCTGTTAAGAACTAATGGAATATTTGGTTAGGTGTTACATCAAGAATGATCTTCTTTCTCGACATTCTACCCTAAAATCAGTCAAGCGTGACGATGTCATTATCTGACTTAGTGAGCTTCTTAAGTTCAAATAACGTGGCGTGATCAAGCCAATTCGGATTTTTTTCAAACGGACACTCGAAGTTCAGTCACATTAATTTTCTACATCGGCATTTTGATTTCGCCATGGACAGAGATGCCACGCGTAACACATATTCAGCGGAGTAGAGCAATTGCGATGTTGATGGATGGTCATAGCCATACTGCTGTCGCACGGCACATGACCGTCCACTTCCTAGACTAGCTCCCCCTTCCACAAATTTAGTCATCAGTTTTGATGGCATTCGTGTGATAACTGAAAAATGCAGCTTTTAAACCGTTGAATTAAACTTAGTGAAAATTGTACACCTTCATTACTACTAACGTCCTTGCTACTAGCTGCGATGTATCGAGACCAACAGACGCTTGTTGCATTTGACGTTTCATGAATTCAATTAAAAAAAAAACAGATTAAACTAATTGAAATTGTGTGATCGAGGCCGACATGCATGTGCTATTTCGTCTCTTGGATGAATTTGTCTCTACACTCGCACACGCTTAGTTTAAACTTATTTCATTGCCGTAAAGCAACACGCAAAACACACACGCATGGGACCCTTTCTTTTTCGAGTAAAGTGAGAGGAAGGAAATGGAAACTTGTGCTTGAGAGACTAGGCATATTCTCTGATAAATAAACTACTACACAACCGTGTACAGTATACTTAAACACGGATAACACTGATTTTCATACTAATTACATGGCGTTCAATAACAGATTTTTCTTCCTATAAAATTTAATGAAATTTTTTATCTGTCATTCCTGTTGTCTTCCACCAACCACAGTTCATATGGCATACTACCATGTTACTCTGTCAAGAAGAAAGGCAATAAGTACAGGAGACAGGTTTAAGGGGTCGATAAAACTGAATATAAAAAGGTGTTTCTGATATAAAGTCAATAAATGTAGGAATTTCAATAAAACTTGTGACAAATTTTATAAAATCAATAATTTTTGCTTCATTGAAAATACATGGTTATCAATTGACAGAATTTTACTCACCAAAAGTTACATTAATTGATTGAGAACATATTTTTAAATAACATTTTCTGAAGAACTGGAAAATTGTTTCTGAATTAGCGAAGTAAGCATTTTTATTTTGATTATTATATTACTATTATCTGTTTCGTCATAAACTATGAAAAATACAAGAGAACCGTAATACATAAGTTTCTAATATCATAAAACATTTATGGTCATTGACCTCTGTACTCATTTGATTAACAAATAATTTCACAATAAAATGAAAAACAAATTCCTCAACTTGAATATTTCCACAATGTGCATTGAGGTGCTTGTTTGTTTTGATATTTGAATAATTAGTAGACTTAGTAATTAAAGAGACAGTCCCACTCCGTTATAGATACTTTTTCATAATTTATTGACTGGAAATGTTGTTGTATACTACGAAAGCCTAATGGTGTCAAAGCAAAAAATTTAAAACGTGGAAACATGCAATAACGCGAAAAAAACATGTAAATACGCAAATAAACCCCAAGTAACGTGATTTTTTACGTAACAACGCAAAAAAATGCGCTATAACGTAAATAAACACGTAATAATACAAATAAACACGTTATTACGCAAACTGAATACACGTTATAACGCGAAAAAAGACGTAAACACGTAAATTTAAAACTCGTAATAACGCGTAAAAACACGTAAAAACGTAAATTTAAAACTCGTAATAACGCAAAAAGACACGCAATAATGTAAATTTAAAACTCGTAATAACGCGAAAAAACACGTAATAACGTAAATTTAAAACTCGTAATAACGCGAAAAAACACGTAATAACGTAAATTTAAAACTCGTAATAACGCGGAAAAACACGGTATATAAGGGTATTTTAAATGCTTTATTATGTGTTTTTTTCGCGTTATTACGAGTTCTAAATTTACGTTATTACGTGATTTTTCGCGTTATAACGAGTATTCAGTTTGCGTAATAACGCGTTTATTCGCATTATTACGTTTTTATTCACGTTATAACGCATTTTTTCGCGTTATTACGTAAAAACACATTACTTCGAGTTTATTTACGTATTCACATGTTTATTTCGCGTTATTGCATGTTTCCACGTTTTAATTTTTCTGCTTTGACACCATTAGGCTTTCGTAGTATACTAATAGATAATAATTATGTAAATAAAGACTTGTATAAAGTTTCGAACTTGAAATTGTAACTGTACCGGATCTCATTATCATTACCAAGAAATAAATATTGACGAGGAAAAGTCACGTAATACGTTCAGACGCGGTCAGAACCAAAACAAGAATAGAGGAAGAGGTGAGTAGTACGTCCATGTGACATCGCTTGTAAAGAGATTTTACCGATAAATGCAATCAATACTCTATATATCCTGTATGGAAATCATCTAACGTATGTATTGATCACATCTGTCAATGCTTAGATATGACGCACAAAGATGCAGATTACGAGAAAAATCGCAAAGAGGCCCTCAAATGGGGGCTATGATACAGTAACGAACGTGGATCTATCTAAAGCGAATATTCGATGATAAGAGTATTTATTACTATGATTTTAGAGTGATACTACACGAGAGAGCCAAACAGAGAGCGATACATAGTATGAACCAGCAGGTCGAGGGCGCCATTTCCCTTCTTTTCGCCTCAGCGTCCGCCATAACACGTTTCTTCTCCGCTTTCCTCGCACGCTTTCTGCCATGTTGGAAGACGGCAGATTTATTTACAATCCTGTTTTTATATAAGATAATATCGGTCGAGGAGTGGGTCTGGCTCTTTAAATAATAGTAATAAAAATAATAACTGCATAATGATTTATAGCTGAATCAGATTATAAATACGGATGTTTTATCCTTATCTGAAAATAATTTTGAAAAATTTCCTCGTCTTGTGTTGACTTTGCAGGAGAGTTTATAATATAGAAAGTAATCTGTTAATATATTTTTATTCTTTATTGAAAGCTGGGACATATCATACATAGATTATGCGTCCCTGTTGAAAGTATCTACATTAGATTTCGTGTGTGTGTGTGTGTGTGTGTTTTTTTTTTTTTTCTTAACAAAGCTATGCTGTTACAAAGTCATTATTATTGTCGATGTCCAAAAACAATGTATTAAAACTAGAAATCTTTCAAAGTACAAATATTCACGGCGAAGTGTCTGGTAAAGTTTGTCATTGGTCGCCATATTTGCACGCGGGGCGAGCTTTTATGCGGAACGAAACCTGCCACATAAACAAAAGCGGCCCAGTGCGGTCCAAGGTTCAGACTTGTGAAAACTAATGCTGTAGTACAGGAATACACCGGATACGTTAGCTGGTTTAACTGGTGACAGCAGTGTTACGTAAGTGGAGGTGTCCTAGGCTCGGTTTTAACCGGAACAAGGACGTTAAGCTCAAAAAAAAAAAAAAACGTAAGTGGAGAATGATATCAGCTTAGATGCAAAAATCGCGTCTCCAGATCTTCAAATTTTTTTTCGTATACATTGACATCTGCATACGGTAACCAGGATGTTAGAAATTCGATAATTCTCTGGTTTGTGATAAATTTCGTCTGCACATCGGTTCCGGACCGTTAAGTATTTCAGAACGGCCATATCACATGAACTATTGACCTTCGTGACCTTACACTCGGATCATTTTGGTTTCTGTAACATGTCACGCTCCCAGAGAGAATAAAAATGGTGATAAATGTAATTCATATGGCAAGCCGTTTTAACATTATTTCTATTTCCTCTTAAGATGAAGTGTGGAATATATTTATTTCACTTAAGTGAAATTATTTTTGTCTTAAGGTAATTAAACATCTTTTCGCATTATGATTATTTCACTTAAGTGAAATAATTTTTATAAGTCTTAAGAGGTTTATTATTTCACTTAAGTTAAAATCGTTTTCACTTAAGTGAATTTAAACAAGCAGTGGGATGTATGAACACCTACCTTCTTCAACAGTTTTGGACTAATCCATTTTATTAACCAATCATTTGGTATTTTCTATCTGACCAATCAGATTCGCTTTCTCTGGTCGATTTCCCATTTTGAAATGGGGGTGGATAGCATACTGACTGTTTTATTTACCTTAAGTGGAAAAAATATCCCTTAAGTGAATGTAATTTAGCATTATGTCAGCACATATCACTTTTTCACTTAAGTGAAATTCTTTTAAACTTAAGGGAAATAAACATTATTATGCATTATGATTTATTTCACTTAAGTGAAAAAAAGAATCCCTTAAGTGATTTTCTCCCCCTTAAGTTGTATTAATAATTTGCATTATGTTTCATTTCCTCTTAAGTGCAATTGTTTTTCACTTAAGTGAAAAAACTATCCCCTTAAGAGGAAATAGGATTAAATGTTAAAACGGCTTGCCATACATCACAACTTTTTGGTTACGAAAATCCAAACATGCATGTCTTATTTTGAAACAAAATATTTTCAAATTATCATTTTTGATTACTAATTTCAGATTTTATTTAACTAAATCTAGTAAGTTGTGGGCCCAGAGATGAAAAATCAACTTTATTTAAATAGGTTGTGTTATATAAAAAAAAACGTTTACCAAGAAATATGGCTCACTTGAGTTAAAAAATTATCAAACATTAAAATTAAGACCTAACCGTTTAGAAATGCTCCATTCTGTGATTCATAAACACAGATATCCACCTCTTTCACACCATGAATATATTTTGATTTAGGTTTTCAACAAGTCATTCCCGTTCAAATGATGTTTTTATGTGATGTGTACTTCAGGGTCACACTAAGCTAACTCTAGCATCTCTGTGATTTAGTGGTGTCATCAGAATAGAAAGTGCGGTCACATGTCCGGTACAGACCATTTTAGATAAGCGAATTTGAAACTGGATCTATGGATGTCTTTGAGACAAATGCTAGTGTTTCATTGATCAGTTTCACATATGAATTCATTTATGTATTTTTTGGTGGTAATTCGTCGACATAGCATAGCTAGCAAGAAATGTTTCTTAAGGGATCCAAAATTACTGCACCAAGGATACATGTATATAAGGATGCACTGGAACTCCAACGTGCCCTCACATTACAGAAAAATTGTAATGCATATTCACAATACCGTTATTGAAAACAAAAACATAACGTCCTATTTGTTTACAGTGCAATAAACCATACAATGCACAGTGTAAGCCTTTGGAAGTAAAAATCAAGCAGGGACAGGTAAGCAGGATTTATAGTGTAATCACCTGCAATGCAAGATACGGTCTCTGTGTGAATACAAACGATGCTCAGATGGGTCGAGAGTAGGAAATGAATCTGACCTGTCCGATTTGGCAAACTCTTGTGCCTCGATGTACATGTGACATATCTGATATATTATGACTTTTATACATCATTTGTAACAAATCCCTGTTCCTGAATATTACAATGTGTATCATTTGTAATATAACAGGGGGTGGCATGTCACGCATCTCTGTACACCTCTGACACTTGCGCTCTGGCCACAGATACACCCTATGTGTGCGCAGAGTAAGTTGATAGAGGGCAGCGGCTGGCTGGCCAGCACATATGTTAATTCCAAAATGTGACTGTATGGCTTTGCTTTGGAGTCACCAGCCATCACAACAGTTCCCTCTGGACCTCCCCTTCAAAGTTATTGGCCTTTTAAATTCAGATTTGACCACTTGGATGTAGCGGAAACACAGGTGTATCCAATAAGGTGGTCCAATATATACAAACAAATATTTATTAACAGGACATAGTGAATATGTATAAGTATAACAATGTAGGATTATAACATTAGTGCCAACTATTGACAAACTGCTAAGTAACTAAACTATAGTATAGCATCCAAATATAAGCATACCTAAACTCTGCCTACACCGCACATGTGTAATGCTATGCTACCTATCAGAAGTACGGAAGGACCACATACTCCTAACTTCCTAAAGGTCTGGAGCTAGCAGGTATATACAGGTTTCTTATGGATGTCTTAGCTTAAAACTCCTGACTATTCTCTGGTAATACACATCCTATTTATACTATAGAGTCTATATATATGAGCTGATGTAGCACTACTGGGTATTGTTAACAGAATCACTACTGTAGCATCCTCCCCAGGAGAAGTTGATTTGTTCACCAATCTGTTGAAGATGCTGAACTACTCTTTTATACTTGCCCTTCTTAATGAATGCTACCATACGATTGACCGTATATCGTTAACAAAAGTAAGCAAGAGGCAAACTTTTGATGTCCACTTTGGTTTCCTGTCTCGTAAGGTACAAATAACCGATAAATGCCATACACGTGTAACGCGTCCTTGTAAACAAACAAATAAACAAACAGCTATTGGTTAGAAGCAACTAAACAACAAGGTCCTGTTGTATCAATAATAACAAAGTGAGAAGTAAAGATCCTGTCCCTGCAGGGATGGTGGTACGAGATATGGTAAAATACAACAAGCAATTGTCATTTGGGTACAAGGGCATATCATTTATGTGACTCAAAAAGAGTAGATATCACAGCGACAGACCCCTCAGGTTCTATTGAAGTTTCTCTTTGTACAACCACCTACTGTAAAACTCACTTGTGTCAAACACACTTGAATCAAATTCAACAGTTCAGTCGAATGTTTTGTTCTGTCCTGATTTTTTCTCGTCTTTGTCTCAGTAAATTAAACCTGGATGACTCAGTCAGCCATATCTGTGTTAACAAGCGGTATTGTAATTTTCAATGGAACCTTTATTGTTGCAACCATACAGGTGCACAGGTGAAAGTTTGAATTTAGAAAGAATTAGGCTAAAAATACACTGTAGTCTGTTAGCCATAAATCTACTGTGTTCTGTTTACTTTTTTTATGTGCATGTGCACAGGTGAAAGTTTGAATTTAGAAAGAATTAGGCTAAAAATACACTGTAGTCTGTTAGCCATAAATCTACTGTGTTCTGTTTACTTTTTTTATGTGCATGTGCACAGGTGAAAGTTTGAATTTAGAAAGAATTAGGCTAAAAATACACTGTAGTCTGTTAGCCATAAATCTACTGTGTTCTGTTTACTTTTTTTATGTGCATGGCTGGTCGAAACCAGAAGGAAAATACATGTGATAACTGCCATGCAGATTCAGATTAATAAAAATACTAGTTTGTCGTTGACACGTTATTTTATTATAGAATACATTAACTGGATATGCATATACATATACAAAGTTTAGTTTCTTTATAGTTTACAGTATAAGCTCTTACATTGCTGTTGGTGTGTTGTCATGATTTAGTGACATTGCCACGGCCTTCATCTTTTTGTAATCCAGCTCAGTGCTATCAATGTTATATCAACATAATGTTAGAATGTTCATGAATATGAATTCGAATTTTATTTTAAAATACTGTTGACTGGACTTATTAAGGATATAAATGTGAGCACAGTATTAGTATTACTTCTAGTACGACGTCACAGTGCATCCATGTGTGAGCTGCAATGACATGTTTCACATTACATTTTTTTGTTCTGTATTCATACTTATAGCTATTAATTTAAATAAAAGATATTGATACTGTATGAAAATATATAATGATTTAATTTATTTATTACTAATTTATCACCGTCACTCTATGCTATGAGACATGTATTTGGTAAACAATCGATGAAATAGAGTTGATCTTCGATGCACAATATCTCAATTCATAGAAATACAGCGTATTCAAACCATTGGATAAGTCCAATATTTCAATTGGTCCTGTTGACTTTTTATGTTTTGCTGAACAATATAGGCTACATGCGCAATGTACATGTTCCTCACAGAGGAAAGTACTTACTCATAGGTGTAAGTTACATTGAATTTTATCCCATACGAGTCCAGCCTGTGTAAGAGATTTTGTTCGGACATAGTGTCCAATGCTTTTATGTCGCAAGTTTGTGACAAGCTAGGTCATTGGTCTGTAGCTGGATTTTACATGAGTATCAGGCACTGAATTCTTGATTTAGAAGTGGCAAAATGCAGTGACGATCAAGATTTAGCTTAAGAGAGAGGTCAGAAAAATAGGACAGTAGTTGACAATCTCCTTTTACAATCATCTGACCTGAATGGTCAAGATTACCTGTAGCCATTGTACTTCGTCCGTTGTCATGCGCCATCTGTCATGCGTCATGCATCGTATGTAAACTTTCTCTTTAAAACCCTACTCCTTTTTATACAGTGATTGATTTCAACCAAATTTGGTCTGATGCATCATTGGGTGTTAAATTCAGAATTTTGATTTGACACCTTGGGGTCGAGGAACAGGGCCCGAAAGGGGGAGGTCCAGAAATTAGCTTTAAAGCCCTACTCCTCCTTTCTGACTTGGTGGATTTCAACAAGTTTTGGCCGGATTCCTTGGTTTGGGTAGGCAATTATTTCTTAAATTCAGAAAGTTGATTAGACCCCTGGGGACTTAGGGATGGGGCCCCAAATGGGGAAGTTAGTCAATAATTTTACTTCAGAACACTTCTCTTCCTTTATGCTTTAATGCTTGAATGAATTTACACCAAATGTGGTCTGAAATATCAGAAGAGCTGGGGAATTATTTCCTGATTTCAGAAAATTACTTTTGAAGTCTGTGCAACTCAGTGATAACTTTATTGCTGATTCTCAATATCCACAATGCTCTCTTCAATGTGAACTTGTAACAGTAGTAAATATTGTGGTATCAGACAAAACTGAACTGCTTATTGAGTACTTTGGCCTTTGACTTTCCATCACTTTAGAGACAAACTTTGATTATCAATGGGAAGACACCTAGATTTCCATGCCTCATTGACATCACATGTCTCAGAATTGGTTCGGTGTTATTACTGTCAGAGTCTTTTTGCACTATTGCGATTGTGTAAATGTCCAGTTTTACCAGTTGTGGTGGAGTCTTCCCAAAATAACCAGCACTCCTACAATTTCTGCTTGTTGTAATGAGGTTCCTATATTTAAGATAATATTAATTTTTACCAGCATATTTAATAACAATGGTTTTTCCCAATTTCTGTTACCAATAATTGTGCAATAGGTTAGAAAATCTGACATCTGCAGTCTCTGTCAAAACCAAGAGTGTTGTTGTGGTGTCCTTTGTACCCCACTTCATCATTGTCAACTCAGCTTTTCAGTCTCGTGTCTGTTTGTGATATTAACCTCATGAGCCAAGAGGATGCATTTTTCAAAAGGAAATCATGATAACTTGATTATATACAGATTACATAGTGTCTTAGAATATAAGCTGGATTTTGGCAAGGGTGAAAAAAGACAAAAGTGGTGAGTAAAAATGTCGCTTATATTTGAAAATACTGGTCTTATATTCTATTTATCCTGCAACATTCACTGGAAATCAGACAATCAAAACTTCATCATTTTGTTGTTCAATCTTTGTTTACCTGACATTAAAGTTATGCTGAGTTTTGCCTGATGACGCCAGAATAATTGCTCCAATCAGAAATATGGTTCCAAACTTCAACAAATATGACAGCAATTTTATGAATTTCTGTAAATAACCTTATTATAATTTTGTGCATATGAAGTCACTTATTTCAACAGCTATTTTTTATTGTTAAACATAATTTTAAAGCAATTTCTGATGAAATTCTGTCCAATTGATGCACAGGCTAAAATACAGCTGTTTTCCATTGCTGCAAAATACAGCAAACATATTATGGTAGGTGTATTCCAACAGTGCAAGTTGCAGAATAAAAATCTTTATTTATACCCCAAGCATCAGACTGAGAAAACGCTTAGAAAGTTGAGACTATCTCCATTTTACAAGACGCGGTTATTTTTATAACTGAGTGTGCCCTTTATAAACATATTATTCATAATCACACATCTTTACATTGTTATAAACAACATCTGTTGTTGTTATACCCTATACTGAAATGATGGTTCAATATATAGGACACACTAAGTGTAAAATATATAGAAGTCTTGCAAAATGGAGACAGATCTAATTTCCAAGGGTGTTTCCAACCTGATAATGGGCTCAAGACTCCCTACCAATCCAGATATGCCTTTACATGTGTTACATTTACTACATGTTCTGCCTCTTTAGATTTATGTGATGTAGTCAAGTCAAAAGCAATTAAGCTATTAAGTTTTATATATATATATATATAAACAGAAAAAAACAGCCATAAGATTACTACAGACCCATTTTATGGCAATATCTTTGGTATGTATACAGGAGATGGCTTCTTTGGGAAGAAAGCTTGCTGGCAAAGTGTGTATAGTAACTGGAGCCACCCGAGGGATTGGGAAGGGTATAGCTTTACAGCTGGGAGAGGCTGGAGCTACTGTCTATATCACAGGTAAGTATAGTGACCGGAGCCACCCGAGGGATTGGGAAAGGTATAGCTTTACAGCTGGGAGAGGCTGGAGCTACTGTCTATATCACAGGTAAGTATTTTTACCGGAGCCACCTGAGGGATTGGGAAGGGTATAGCTTAGCAGCTGGGAGAGGCTGGGGCTACTGTCTATATCACAGGTAAGTATAGTGACCGGAGTCACCCGAGGGATTGGGAAGGGTATAGCTTAGCAGCTGGGAGAGGCTGGGGCTACTGTCTATATCACAGGTAAGTATAGTGACCGGAGTCACCCGAGGGATTGGGAAAGGTATAGCTTTACAGCTGGGAGAGGCTGGGGCTACTCTCTATATCAGAGGTAAGTATAGTGACCGGAGCCACCCGAGGGATTGGGAAGGGTATAGCTTTACAGCTGGGAGAGGCTGGGGCTACTGTCTATATCAGAGGTAAGTATAGTGACCGGATCCAACCGAGGGATTGGGAAAGGTATAGCTTTACAGCTGGGAGAGGCTGGGGCTACTGTTTATATCACAGGTAAGTATAGTGACCGGAGTCACCCGAGGGATTGGGAAAGGTATAGCTTTACAGCTGGGAGAGGCTGGGGCTACTGTCTACATCACAGGTAAGTATAGTGACCGGATCCAACCGAGGGATTGGGAAAGGTATAGCTTTACAGCTGGGAGAGGCTGGGGCTACTGTCTATATCAGAGGATAGTGACTGGAGCCTTCCAAGTGATTGGGAAAGGACATAGTTTTGTAACAAATCTACACTATAGAGAAATAATGAAAATAAAACATTACTTGTCTGCCTTCATAAAGGCTCATGCAAGTGATATTGAGGCCAACATTGTATCATTAAACTTTATAGATAAGCATTAAAAGTTACGTATTAAAAGGTGAATGTCATCTTTTTCATCTTTGAGCTCTTTGAAAATGAGTTGGTAGAAGCAGACAGAAGATAAAGTTATTTATACTCTTTAACCTCGTTACAGGGTGAGAAAATGTTCACTGATTTTTTTACAGGTAGGACATTAGTAGCTGCCAAGGACAATGCAGTAGGAGGGTCACTCACTGATACAGCTAAGCAGGTAAATGATATATAGTTATCTGGCATTAAGTCTAGAGGGCAAATTATGACACAAGTAGTGGCTGGGCTCATTCAGGATGGTGATATAGCAAATGCTTTTAATTATGCAGTACAGAAATAGATATGGGTGGTCTTATTACAAGGTGTGACCTTATTCTTTGATAGATAAGTACAATTACAATGTATATGTCATTACAGATACATATATATATATATCACAGGTAGAGGAGAGGGATATGTATACCTGTACAATGTGACCACTATATAAATATCACAGGTAGAGGAGAGGGAAATATATACCTGTACAATGTGACCACTATATAAATATCACAGGTAGAGGAGAGGGAAATATATACCTGTACAATGTGACCACTATATAAATATCACAGGTAGAGGAGAGGGAAATGTATACCTGTACAATGTGACCACTATATAGAAATCACAGGTAGAGGAGAGGGAAATGTATACCTGTACAATTTGACCACTATATAGATATCACAGGTAGAGGAGAGGGAAATGTATACCTGTACAATTTGACCACTATATAAATATCACATGTAGAGGAGAGAAGTGTATACCTCTGCAATGTGACCACTTTATAAAATTTACAGATAGAGGAGAGGGGAGGGAAGTGTATTCCTGTACAATGTGACCACACCAAAGATGAAGAAATAGAACAGCTTTTTGACAAAGTCAAGAGGGAGCAGGATGGTCAGTTGGATATCCTCGTCAATAACGCCTACAACGCTGTCAAGGTATTAAGGTTGAATTTTTATGAAGTATGTTTATAGCTGGTCATGTAAATCTAACAATTTTTGTGAATATTTTGGGGACAATGTTGGGTCTACTTCTCTATTTAAATTCTTATTTACACATCATTTCCAGAATTTTTTACTAATTAATCAGTATTAATCGTGAAATAAATCATAAAGTCCTCATTCCATATTGACTTTTAAATAAAAGGCCCTGAAATGTGATCCTAGACTGAGGCAGTCACAAATTTCTTTTTCTTTAAAATTTAGCTTTAACTATTCAAAATACTTTCTTGAGGACACACGATAAGATTGTTAAATTCCATAATCAATTACTAGCAATATGAGATGACCATGCTCTCAAACAAAATATCAATGTTTTTTATCAATTTGAACAAAAGCCTAATATGTCACTAGTTACAGTGTAAGGTCAGTCGAAGTAAGAATTGTATGATAACACTATGTTGTTACTAGCAACCATACAAATCCAAATGGTTTAGACAAAACATCAGATTGGACAATGCAGAGGTCAAGTCACTGTTGCTAAAAATAGAAATTCCAAACATTCCTTATCATTAGCAATTTTGTTATTTATATTATATTTTTGGGTACATCATGAAATTTGACCAGTGAGTCAGGTGTTTTGTAGATTATTGACAAATATTGTAATTTCTTGACTGTCAGTGCATGCTTATTATTTATTTACCATTCTGATACCATGTTTTGCAGGCTATCTTTAACAATTTGAATGTTCCATTTTGGGAACTCCCTATGGATATGTGGGACACTGTCAACAATGTGGGACTAAGGTAATATTGTCATTAAATTGTCAACACAGTGGGACAGTGTCAAAAGCCTAGAACACTGGACTCTTCTGTCAATGTAATCACGTGCTTTTCAAAACGCAACATTCTTATCTTTCTAAATATAGTCATGAACAATTCTGTAAAACATGGTCTATAGTAAATGCTGGGATATTATCCTGCCCTTTGCTCGTTCAACCATGAAGTGCTTGTTCATATATTTAAGTGCATTTTTCCTTTTATATAATTCTCGAACGACAGCCAAATTCTGCATGCAGTGGTAAATATTTCTTGTCACCCAACTATTACAGTTATGTCCCTTTGTTCACAATATCTTACAAAATATATCATCTGTAATTGTTAAACTTGTAAGGATAAAGATAATTTGGTGTTGCATCCTTAAATTTGAGAAAGTCTCAATTATATAAAGAAGTAAATTCCTTTGTTAATTTATACTTTGTATTACCAAAGTTTTGTGTAGTGGTCATTTAAGTACCATTTTATCTGGCAATAAGCCCCTGTCTGGTAGTAAGCCCACTCGTTCCTGGTCTGTAAAATTTACCAATGCCTTTTCATTATCCTGTAATAAGCCCACTCTCCTGACTTTAAGTGTAATGTCATATATTGGCTGATTGTACGATAAATACGGTACATGTACCATCATTTACAAGTGATGTCTGACTTTATACAATATTGATATTTAGAAACCACTACCTGTGTACAACCCATGCTGCCAAGATAATGGTACCCAGAAAAAAGGGACTTATTGTTAATATATCATCATTTGGTGGACTTTCCTATCTTTTCAATGTGCCGTATGGCATTGGCAAGGAGGCTGTAAGTATTGCAGTGCTATTTACATTTTTTCTTCCATTCAAATAGTAAAAATTGTTTGAGTTTTTTGGGAATCTTTTTAAAAGTGTGAAATTGAAGATATTTTTCTAAAAAGTGTTTCACAATAGAATATTCTTAAGTGAATTATGAAATTGATTTGTTTTAAAAATATTGCTGGATCTGTTTGTAACTGGTAACATTTGATAGTAACAAAACTTGTCCCAATGTCTCAATCCAAGTATCCCTTGATCCCATTCTTTATATACAAACTGAAAGTCTTTATGGAGAACTACCTATTTTATATATACTGAGTACAAAAAAATAAGGATCACTTTTTTAAACATAAATTTAACTGTATCAAAAGGCAAAATGGAATATGAAATACAAAAGTGAAATCAAACAATGTTTTGACCAACTTCAAATCAATTTCATTTGGGTCAATTATACAATAAAACTACTTATTTTTATACACAACATATTGTAATTTGTCATTGTTCTCTTTGTCTGACAGTGTGATAGAATGGCTGTGGATTGTGCTGTAGAGTTGAAGAAACACAATGTAGCTATGGTTAGTTTGTGGCCTGGGGCCGTCAAGACGGAAAATATAAATTTCCTTCTCGGTCAGCATAAAATGGATAAAACGGTGAGTTCAAATTGTAACAGGGGAAATACATTGAAGTAGTAAAGATCCTTGAATAATTTTGTTGAACAAGCGGATGACTACAATAGGTTAAATATGGTATTAAGGTCACCTGACAAAGTCTTGTGGTGTTCTTTTGTGATATTCTTTTGTCTGCCAAGTGAGTGCCATCTTGAATATCGGATATTGTTCAAAATTCAGAACACTAGCCAAGGTCCTTTATTAAATATATTCATTAATCATCAAGACCATCCCATCAGGAGTTGTTTGAGGTATAACAGTAAGATCTGTCGCTATCCAAAATGATCACAGACAGCCATCTTAAATACCTGATTAAAATTCAGAATGAGGCATGCAGAATGAGGAGCAATAGTACACATAAAACACCAGGGTAATGGTAATAAACTTCAACCATCAAAATTCAAAAAGTGCAGAGATATCTTACCATGAATGACCAATCAAGTCATATATCCTTAAGTTTAAGGTACACATAGGTAACGGAGATCATTATTTATTTCAATGCCTCCACTAGGAATCGAACCCGGGACCCCTGGCGTACTACTCTGACGCTCAACCAATCAAGCTAAAGAGAAGTTCTCTATAGCCGAGTGGTATATTGTGGCTAGTAGCTTACCAGGGTTAAGGTAAAAAATCAAAGTATGACATCAGAACTTTGTCTAAACAACTATGAACTGTACCACAACATTCTAAGGATAAGAGATAGACAATCTGTTTGTGTTCCTCCATTCATAACTTTCCTTCAACATTCTAGTGAGAGGAAGGCCCATCATCTCCGCCGGTTATACACCCGACATAAAATAATGCTTTATTTTCTCTACAGGATAACGTTAAGGCCAAAAAGGCTTTTGAAAATGGAGAGTCCATAGAATATTCTGGCAAAGCAGTGGTCTGTCTGGGAGCAGGTAAGATGATATACAGACCTGACTGAACCATAGCAATATACTGTAGCCATTAACAGCACTTACTGATACTGACAAACTCAGGAATCTTATGACCTGTTAGATATACTGACCTAACTGAACCATAGCTATATACTGTAGTCATTAACAGCACTTACTGATACTGACAAACTAGCTATATAATCTTGTGATGACAAACCGTTAGATATACAGACCTAACTGAAACATAGCTATATACTGTAGTCATTAACAGCACTTACTGATACTGACAAACTCAGGAATCTTATGACCTGTTAGATATACTGACCTAACTGAACCATAGCTATATACTGTAGTCATTAACAGCACTTACTGATACTGACAAACTCAGGAATCTTATGATCTGTTATATATACAGACCTGACTGAACCATAGCTATATAGTCATTAACAGCACTTACTGATACTGACAAACTCAGGAATCTTATGACCTGTTAGATATACTGACCTAACTGAACCATAGCTATATACTGTAGTCATTAACAGCACTTACTGATACTGACAAACTCAGGAATCTTATGACCTGTTAGATATACTGACCTAACTGAACCATAGCTATATACTGTAGTCATTAACAGGTTATTTACTGTTCATCTACTCACCAATCCTTTTTGTATCCCTTAGTTTATAACTTCTAATAACTTTGGGTCCTATACTATATTTGATGTTGGCATCGTCAGTTCAGTTAAATACTGAAGATGTTACTTAAAATTTTCTGTTGTAAATTGCTATGATTTCTTATATAACCCACACCTAGTTGTAGTAAAATGACTTGGTTTAGTTTTGGTAATTGTCCAAAGTTAAGTTTTTTGATTTCTGCATAATTGGCTTTACTTAATTATGTATAAGTAATAGTCACGCCTTGAACTGATTCTGTATATCATATATATTGACTGAACTGGGTTGATTACCATGCCTAGGTAGGCACAAAGATTTTAGAGTTTAAAATCAAAATATAGCTGTAGAATTTTCAGCTTACTTGCCTGAAGGGTCAGTGAGCTATGCAGTGGCTTGGCATCTGTCCACTGTAACCTTTTCTCTTTACATGATTTCTTCTCAATAAGCAACAGACCTAGAGCTGTGATGTTAGGGCAAGTTTAGGTGATCAAGTTTGTCAAAAGCAATGATCTTGACCCATGTTCATGTTTACAGGGGTCAGATTTGTCCAAATCTTTAAGCAACTTCTGACACAAAGCATAATATTTGGCTGGTAGATCAGAAATAAAAAAACAGAGAAGCATATTTGTTTGCAAGGTGTTTCTTGGTCAAAGCTTCACAAATTTTGAAAAAAAAATATGTATAAACAATATTTACCTTTAATCCAGATCATAACTGTTATTATATAGAGTTGCATGTAAGAAGCTAAAGTTTGTTTTAGAAATTTTTCAAAATTGGATGTACCCACTATGAATGTCAGTGGTGTATGTGTAAATGTCTTTTTGATGAACATTGATTGTATTTGTGATGAGCATTGATTACAAGCTGAGTGATGCAGGCCCTTTGGGCCTCCTGTTCCTTCATGATTTTAACTTTTATATTGTGTGTTTTAATAAATCATCACATCTTCTATATACTAGACCCAAATATCATGAAGAAAACTGGAAAGATTCTGTTATCAGCTGAACTTGGATATGAGTATGGTTTCAAGGACATCGATGGTAAGTATGTATGAAGAGTAAAATAGATATCACTTCTGTAGGTAGGCAGTCAATCTCTTCACAAAGATATACAATGATTGTAGTGCTTATTTGGACTGTCACATATCAGTTACCATAACTATCACTTTAAAAAGGTTTACTCTAATTAACAAATGTTTAATAAGGTTATGCTGAAAAGGAATTTGAATTTTATGCAAAATTAGAAATACTTTGTCAAGTATTTGAATATAGATAAAATAAACTTTATAGAGAACTATGGAAAACATATGTAAAGTATGCCACCTAGATAAAGACTGACATTTGAACTTGAAAGGCCCCTATATTCAACCTGGTTCAACACTAATACGGAAAGTCAAGTCATCAGACTCTTACTTAGAATCAATAAAGAGAAGCATTCCTTTCTTATTCTAGTAAATTTGTTTTTCAGGTGAAGAGAGAATATCTGTGAGGAACCTTAAGCAAGGCTTGATGTTCTCTCCAAAGACACAATGGCTTGGAAGGCTAACACCAGGATTTCTATACATCCCAAAGTGGATATTTGCTCTACTGGGAAACAAGTTCTGAGTAGTGTATGTAATATGTCAGTGCTGACAGTATATCAACAATAATCTATGCAATGTGGTGTGTTTGAGAGATATAAAGTGACAATATTTGTTCAGTTTTACCAAGATGTAAGCTGTTGAAATGTACTGAACTTGCCATGTACTTAATTTACTGTTAACTCAAGTTATTCTGGATGGATGAAGAAATCATTGTTGCAAATTCTTAGAAATTTGACAGCATTAATGAATATAAATATTTATCTATTTTGTTTTTGTCCTTTTTTATCATGAATAAGAATCCATTTATGTCCATTGATTAAATCTGACAGTATTGATGAATGTAGATATTTAATTGTTTTTTAATAGTTATTTTCATGAATCCATTCATGTCATGTATTCATTCTTCATGAAAACACTGTACTACCTGGTATGATGATGAAACTTACCACACATGATAAGTACACACGATTTTGAATGTTTCAAAGGTATTTGCTGTCATTACCAAAGCAGTTGTGTACTTTTACTTTATTCACTTCTTGGTCAATGTTTTAAAAATCAAATACACATATAATTTTGAGAGTTTGTAGAGCTTCTTTTGTGCAATCCTTTGAACCATTATTTTCTCATCACTGAATGTATTTATAACTCTTGTTGTTTAAATAATTTATTATACAGAAAAAATCAAAGATTTTCTTCATACCAGTATCATAATAAAATTCTCTGAAACAACTGATTGCTGGACTGTTAACAGTTATCCCCCTTGTATGCCATTTGGGAGTAGTTATTCCCTTATTCAGTTATTTTAGATAAGGGATATTAACAGTTATCACCCATGTTATTTGAAAATAGACTTGTTAACAGTTATCTCCCTTGTCTTTTAGTCGAGAATGGGGTTGTTTACAGTACAACAGACCACAAATTGCATGCATATTTATTTCAGATAAACAATCGTGATGTGACCAACTTGTTTTACTGGTCAGTACTACTTAAAACACCAAAGTGTTCTATTGTGATCTTCCTAAAGCTGTAGGTTTTTATTAATAGGATGTAGTACTCCCTAATTAACTTGATTAGAAATCACAATAATTGACACCTAACTATGTACTTCCTTACACAATGTATGTGTACATTTCAATTCTTAAGACATTCCAAGTTTATAATCTTTATGACAATAGTATGAAATTGTGGTTTCATGAATGGCAGTTTGATTCAGAAATATTTGGAAGAACTAATGAACTTTTTCAGCAATTTAATCTTGTCCAGAGTATTATTTTGTTTTCAGTCCCTCTCTTTACAACTTGCTGTGTTTTATCATCAAAACCTGTAGCAAAGTTTTCTCTCATGTCCTTATTTGTAGTCTTATCGAAATGACAATGCATTTCTATTTGGCATTGACTTCAACCAATTTAATTCTCCTCAACACTTCAGTCACACACATTTAATTCTTTGACTGGAAGTGCACTTTGATATCATAACAAAGAGCAAAACAATCAAACAATAACACAGTACAAAAACAAAACAACACAGCTTTATTTCCTCGTCTGTAGATAGTAATGAATGAAGTAAGCAAGATTGAGATAGTAAGTTGTACTATGGAAACTTGTTAAACCGAAGTATTGGCAAACAAACAAAATAAGTCTCGGCAATTGCGTTGTTGTTTGTTGGAGCACGAGTTACAACAAGGATAATGTCACACTAAAAAGCAAGACTAGGAATGAAATATTAAATACAAATAAGGTATTTTTACATTTAATTGGATGAAATAATAATTCTGGTTACAGCATTATAACTAAAAAATGGATGGACAATGTGGAACCATATGACCCTGGAAGGTGGTCGTTCTGATGGCATTTGACATATGGCCTCAACCTCCTCTTCGGGTGACAACAGTATCATAATATGTTGTATACATTGATATTATCTGTACAACCAGTGAGAACCTGTCACTCTGAGACAATATGACATGATAAAGACACCACCATGATGAGACTGTCGTCTCTGCTACAAAACACTACACTTCGCACTCGGTTCTTTCGTCTCATCCTCCTTCTTTGGGGAGCTGCTCACCGAGGTCTGTTTGGATGTTTTGGTGTTTTTGTTCTTTCCTGTAAATGATAAGATATAAGATTGTTTACTGATAAATTTTTTATCAATTTTTTCTGTTAATCCCTTCAGTATTATCCTTTACCAGTAGTTTCATGCTTAAGATATGTACAGTTGACAAGGGTTGGCCATAAATCAATTTTATCTTTATAAACTCGTTAGGTCATAAATTCACTAGAAAGGGGTATAACTATATTACAGGTAAAAAAAAAACATTTGAGAGGGTGTAAATTCACTGGAGAAAGGTTGTAATTGTAATACAGTTAAAACCAAAAAAGTCATTTGAGAGAGAGTCTGTCATTTTATTTGGCAGTTTGAAATGGAATGTGTAGGGTGAAGGTCAATGCAATGTAATATCAAGTGTTTAAACGTGAATTGTTCATCACACCTTTTTACATTAAGGTTCAATAGACACTAATGTGTTTTATGTCAATTGCCCATCCAGAAATGGGCAAGTACAACTTCGTTCCAGCACCTGTCTCTAAAGTTAGGAGACCATTTACCAACATTAGGATTATTGATGTGTAATAATGATATAATTTTAAGGCATTGAGCCTTGAGTACATCACATACATCATACATAGCAGTAAACAATAAATAAGTGTTTTGAAATGACAGATCAATATAGGATTTAAAGTAAGAACATAACTTTTTGAAATTATCTTTTTTTTTTGATAAAAAAAAAAATTTGTTATTTATTAAATTGTTACAATACATAAACATAACAAAACAAGTGAACATCCTTCCACACTCATGCATTTCTACTTCACACCAATTATGAAGAAATCCTCCCAATGTCATCATCATCATCATCTACACCTCATTGTCATCATTTAGACTTCATTGTCATCATCATTTTCATCATTTACACCCCATTCCATTGTCATCATCATCATCTACACCTCATTGTCATCATCATTATTTACACCTCATTGTCATCAATCATCATTTACACCTCGTCATAAATCATCATCATTTACACCTCATTGTCATCATCATCATTTACACCTCATTGTTATCATCATCATCATCATCATCATCATCATCATCATCATCATCATCATCATCATCAACAACACCTCATTGTCATCATCATTATCATTTACACCTCATTGTCATCATTATCATCATCATCATCATCTACACCTCATAGTCATCATCATTTACACCTCATTGTCGTCATCATTGTCATCATTTACACCTCATTGTCATCATCATCGTCATCATTTACACCCCATTGTCATCATCATCTACACCTCATTGTCATCATCATTTACACTTCGTCATAAATCATCTTCATCATTTACACCTCATTGTCATCATCATCGTCATCATTTACACCCCATTCCATTGTCATCATCATCATCTACACCTCATTGTCATCATCATCATTTACACCTCATTGTCATCAATCATCATTTACACCTCGTCAAAAATCATCATCATTTACACCTCATTGTCATCATCATCGTCATCATCATCATCATCATCATCATCATCATCATCATCATCATCATCATCATCATCATCATCATCATCAACACCTCATCATCATCATTATCATTTACACCTCATTGTCATCATTATCATCATCATCATCATCATCATCATCTACACCTCATAGTCATCATCATTTACACCTCATTGTCGTCATCATTGTCATCATTTACACCTCATTGTCATCATCATCGTCATCATTTACACCCCATTGTCATCATCATCTACACCTCATTGTCATCATCATTTACACCTCGTCATAAATCATCATCATCATTTACACCTCATTGTCATCATCATCGTCATCATTTACACCCCATTCCATTGTCATCATCATCATCTACACCTCATTGTCATCATCATCATTTACACCTCATTATCATCAATCATCATTTACACCTCATTGTCATCATCATCGTCATCATCTACACCTCATTGTCATCATCATCATTTACACCTCGTCAAAAATCATCATCATTTACACCTCATTGTCATCATCATCATCATCATCATCATCATCATCATCATCATCATCATCATCATCATCATCAACACCTCATTGTCATCATCATTATCATCATCATCATCATCTACACCTCATAGTCATCATCATTTACACCTCATTGTCGTCATCATTGTCATCATTTACACCTCATTGTCATCATCATCGTCATCATTTCCCCCCATTGTCATCATCATCTACACCTCATTGTCATCATCATTTACACCTCGTCATAAATCATCATCATCATTTACATCTCATTGTCATCATCATCATTTACACCTCGTTGTCATCATCACCATCTACACCTCATTGTCATCATTATCATCTATACCTCATTATCATCATCATCATCATCTACACCTCATAGTCATCATCATTTACACCTCATTGTCATCATCATTGTCATCATTTACACCTCATTGTCATCATCATCGTCATCATTTCCCCCCATTGTCATCATCATCTACACCTCATTGTCATCATCATTTACACCTCGTCATAAATCATCATCATCTACACCCCATTGTCATCATCATCTACACCTCATTGTCATCATTATCATCTATACCTCATTGTCATCATTATCATCTATACCTCATTGTCATCATCATCATCATCATCATCTACACCTCATTGTCATCATCATCATTTACACCTCATTGTCATCATCATCATTTACACCTCATCGTCATCATCATCTACACCTCATCATCACCATCATCATTATCTATACTTCATTGTCATCATCATCATCTACACCTCATTGTCATCATCATCTACACCTCATCATCACCATCATCATTATCTACACTTCATTGTCATCATCATCATTTACACCTCATTGTCATCAATCATCATCATCATCTACACCTCATTGTCATCATCATCATCTACACCTCATTGTCATCATCAACATCTACACCTCATTGTCATCATCATTTACACCTCATTGTCATCATCATCATTTACACCTCATCGTCATCATCATCTATACCTCATCATCACCATCATCATTATCTACACTTCATTGTCATCATCATCATATCATCATTTCATCACATCATCTACATCAATCATCATTTACACCTATTGTCATCATCATCATTCACACATCATTTCATCATCACCATCATCATTATTACACCTATTGTCATCATCATCATCTACACCTCATTTTCGTCATCATCATTTTCATCAATCATCATTTACACCTCATTGTCATCATCATCATTTACACCTCATCGTCATCATCATCTACACCTCATTGTCATCAATCATCATTTACATCTCATTTTCATCATCACCATCATCATCATCATCTACACCTCATTGTCATCATCATCATTCACACATCATTTTCATCAATCATCATTTACACCTAATTGTCATCATCATTCACACATCATTTTCATCAATCATCATTTACACCTCATTGTCATCAATCATCATTTACATCTCATTTTCATCATCATCATCATCATCATCATCATCATCATCATCATCATCATCATCTACACCTCATTGTCATCATCATCATTTACACCTCATTGTCATCAGTCATCATTTACACCTCACTGTCATCATCATCATCATTTACACCTCATTGTCATCAATTATCATCGTCATTTACACCTCATTGTCATCAATTATCATTTACACCTCACTGTCATCATCATCATCATCAACACCTCATTGTCATCAATTATCATCGTCATTTACACCTCATTGTCATCAATTATCATCGTCATTTACACCCCATTGTCATCATCATTTACACCTCATTGTCATCATCGTCGTCATCTGTCATCATCATCATCATCATCATCTACACCTCATCATCATCATCACTTACACATCATCATCATGATCCTCATATTCATTAACACCTCATTGTCATCATCATCGTCATCTGTCATCATCATCTACACCTCATCATCATTATCATCATCATCATCATCATCGTCATCATTATTTATACCTAATTGTCATCCTCATCGTCATCTGTCATCATTTACACCTCATTGTCATCATCATGATCATTATAATCATCGTCATTATCATCATCATCAACATCATTATTTACACCTAATTGTCATCAATCATCATCATCATCATCATTATTTATACCTAATTGTCATCATCATCGTCATCTGTCATCATTTACACCTCATTGTCATCATCATGATCATCACGATCATCATCATCATCTACACCTCATCCTCCTCCTCATCATTATTTACACATCATCATCATCATCATCATCATCATCATCATCATCATCATCATCAATCATCATCATCATCATCATTATTTACACATCATCATCATCATCATCATCATCATCATCATCATCATCATCATCATCAATCATCATCATCATCATCATCATCATTATTTACACCTCATCATCATCATCATCATCATTAACATCATTCTCATCCATCAGCATATCACCAGCAATGCTGATTATAAACTATTGTTTGATATTTAAAATGCATTGGAAATATTTCCTTTCCCTTATTTTAAGGTGTGCAGCTTTCATCTCGTGAAAGTCAGATCTGAGTGTTTTTAATTTAAAGTCCATGTCGTATAATAATTCACCTTTCATCGATCAAATTAGAATTCCAGTTCGATATCAGACAAGGTACTTGCTTCATCATCTTATTATATTAGGTGAATAATATGTGACGATGATGACTCATGGATCATAACGGTAGCTGTCAGTACACCACAGCAGTCTGCACAGAGAATGCAAAGTGATGATTCGGGAAACCTCGGATTGTATTATATGCTATAGAAACATTACTGGGCTATTGTTGTTCGGGTTTAACATCATCGGAACAGCTAGGGTCAGTGTAGGATGGGCTGTAACCACAGTGCTGTGCTATTGACTTTGGCAATCAGTGCTGAAGAATAGAGTGGAAAACCTCGAACGCTATTTATAGATAAGCACTAGCAATGCTGTACTAGATTTTCTCGTAGCCTGTATACACAGTTTGAATAGATACAGATCTGTAGATCTCTATTTCTCAACCTCCGAAATATAATACATACCCTGCTTGGATTTTTTCTTGTCCCATGGCAGTCGCACGTCATCGTCAGTATAATCATAGTCATGTCTTCGAGTCGCAGAACAGCTTCCGGCCGACGCCGCTGCCACTGCCATGGACAGGCCGAGAATCTGCAAGTCCAAAATGGCACAAGTGTTCGAGAAACCCCAGTTAAACACGAGACGTTGATGTTATCACGTGTCAAACTCTACAATACACGGACGAGTCTGTTCAGGGCAGATTGATGAAGGCTGGCGCTTACTCTGGTGAATCGATTCCTTATATCAGTTTTTGTGTGTCATAAAGCCAGCGTGGCACGCTTACAAGTGCGATAATGTGCAGCTCACAATGTGATGACCAACGAGGAGAGAACATGCTTAGTTACTGCGACAGCTTCATAATTTTGCGCACATTTTTCAAACGAACGTTAAAATGTTGAAAATTTCCTTATTTGTAAAACGAAGACTAGTGATTTTAGGAGTGAGTCAACGCTGACAGACCGATGACGAACAACATCAAGACAATTTGGTGTAATAGTGCAATTACGCACGAGATCCTTCGATTTGACATAACAGTCAACGTGCGACATCCTGGGCTGAAACTTGACGGTCAACAGAACAATAACGTGCGACATCCTGGGCTGAAACTTGACAGTCAACAGAACAATAACGCGCGAGATCCTTTTATGTGACAAAACGACCAAAAGAACAACAACGAGCGATATTCTTTGATGTCAAATAACGATCAACAAAACAATAACGCGCGAGATCCTTTTGATGTCACATAACGGTCAACAGAACAATAATGCGCGAGATCCTTTGATGTCACATAACGGTCAACAGTGCAATAACGCGCGAGATCCTTTGATGTCAAATAACGGTCAACAGAACAATAACGCGCGAGATCCTTTGATGTCACATAACGGTCAACAGAACAATAACGCACGAGATCCTTTGATGTCACATAACGGTCACAAGAACAATAACGCGCGAGATCCTTTGATGTCAAATAATGGTCAACAGTGCAATAACGCGCGAGATCCTTTGATGTCACATAACGGTCATCAGTACACTAACGAGCGAGATCCTTTGATGTCACATAACGGTCAACAGTACACTAACGAGCGAGATCCTTTGATGTCAAATAACGATCAACAAAACAATAACGCGCGAGATCCTTTGATGTCACATAACGGTCAACAGAACAATAACGCGCGAGATCCTTTTGATGTCACATAACGGTCAACAGAACAATAACGCGCGAGATCCTTTGATGTCACATAACGGTTAACAGAACAATAACGCGCGAGATCCTTTGATGTCACATAACGGTCAAAAGAACAATAATGCGCGAGATCCTTTGATGTCACATAACGGTCAAAAGAACAATAATGCGCGAGATCCTTTGATGTCACATAACGGTCAACAGTGCAATAACGCGCGAGATCCTTTGATGTCAAATAACGGTCAACAGAACAATAACGCGCGAGATCCTTTGATGTCACATAACGGTCAACAGAACAATAACGCACGAGATCCTTTGATGTCACATAACGGTCACAAGAACAATAACGCGCGAGATCCTTTGATGTCAAATAATGGTCAACAGTGCAATAACGCGCGAGATCCTTTGATGTCACATAACGGTCATCAGTACACTAACGAGCGAGATCCTTTGATGTCACATAACGGTCAACAGTACACTAACGAGCGAGATCCTTTGATGTCACATAACGGTCAACAGAACAATAACGCGCGAAACCATTTGATGTCTGTAACACAATGGCCTTATTACGTAATGATTACATGATCATTACATGATCCTGTTTCATTACTATTTCAAGACATGAATTCTATATTATATATATTAGTGCAACATAATCATGTTTTCCTGTGGTAGCGTAAACAATGCTAATACGGTGTGTATTGTGCATTAGGGTAATGGGTTAACTGGACGATAATGGACCATGGAGATAACACAGGCTAATAAAATAGATGGGTAGAAAGAATGAACGTACGTGGCAGTTGGTCAAGAGCCAAATAGAGTACCATTTCAAGATGGTCAAAGTATCAATTAATACAAATCAATTAAGTTCAATTTACACAATTTGATTGTATAGATACAGGTCAGCCGACCTGGGGCGTATTGTGCATTAGGGTAATGGGTTAACTGGACGATAATGGACCATGGAGATAACACAGGCTAATAAAATAGATGGGTAGAAAGAATGAACGTACGTGGCAGTTGGTCAAGAGCCAAATAGAGTACCATTTCAAGATGGTCAAAGTATCAATTAATACAAATCAATTAAGTTCAATTTACACAATTTGATTGTATAGATACAGGTCAGCCGACCTGGGGCAGAACAGGTATGCTGACTCCCGCTGGAATGTTGTGGGCAGGGGAGTTGACCAATCGCTGACATTCATATGTCACAGATATTATAAAAGCAGCCTTGGAGACTTGCGGAGTTAGTCAGCTCGGAGAACCTTTGCTGACGCCAACCTGCGGTCTGCGGCTACTCACATTCGGCCATATGAAACCTAAAATGTTATAGGAACTTTCGAACTTTTCGCCAAGAAAATTACTTAGTTATACACCAGTGTGACGGGTCGTCGGTCCACTGTTTTACTATAGTTGTAACGTATCCTGTTGTTATTCTCGTGGAGCCATACCTGGTGAATTATGTTAAATAAAACTTCGAACCTTTGGAACTTGTGTTGTTGAACTTTTGTCATTTCAATACGCATATGAACACCTGAAGTGTTATATGTTACTATTGATTTTTGGTGCCGTGACCAGGATCGAGAATTAACAGAAAGGATATTGTACAAAGAAGTGCATTGTATTATGAACTCTGACAACGAAGTTATTATTCAACGGGCACGAGAAAACTTTCCTGTACATTGGAAGAAGAAAATTATTGCAGTTGAAAAGAAAAAAGCCCGACATTACAGTCAGTACCGATACCCAACTACCCAGACGTAATAGACCAAGAGGATTGGTCCGCCGCGACGTTCCCTTAAGACCGGTAGGAGAAAGGCTACTGCCACAGGGTAATTACTACGCCCCATTTGACTACAACGATTTGCAGACTCTCCGCCACCTTGCTATTGACCAGACTTCGTAATAAGGGTAAATGGCTCTTAATTCTTTTTACTATACCTATTCAGTCATGGTCGAACCAACCAATCCAGTGGCTAATGCCATGCAAGATTTGGCAACACAAGTCGGCAGTTTAAATGCTGCCGTAGCAATACAAGGGGTGGGTACTGCAATAACCCCGTTTGAGGGAGATGCCAAGAAATTTAATGGAAAAAGAATAATAACGCGAGAGATCCTTTGATGTCACATAACGGTCAACAATGCAATAACGCGCGAGATCCTTTGATGTCAAATAACGGTCAACAGAACAATAACGCGCGAGATCATGTTATGTGATAAAAGTAAACAACAGATATCTTAAAGGGATTCAATTTTCCAAAAAGCCACCCTTCACCTTAACTAATTAGTACTACAGACAAAATCAAACACGTCCGTCACGTGCACGATGGACACACAGGAATGTATCAATATCATTACAATGTAATGCATAATGACATCGTCGAATCAAAAATGCTAGGGAATGCTATGCTGGGTGTCTAAACGTAGTTAGGTTGGGGGATCCGGAATGCAAAGCTACGTGTCTAAACGTAGTTAAGGTGGGGGAGATCCGGAATGCTATGTTACGTGTCTAAACATAGTTAAGGTGGGACATCCGGCATGCTATGCTTTGTGTCTAAACGTAGTTAAGGTGGGAGATCCGGAATGCTATGCTACGTGTCTAAACGTAGTTAAGGTGGGAGATCCGGAATGCTATGATTTGTGTCTAAACGCAGTTAAGGTGGGAGATCCGGAATGCTATGCTTTGTGTCTAAACGTAGTTAAGGTGGGAGATCCAGAGTGAGTTTTATGGGCCGTATTGAATGCTGAAAAGGGACGGTACTACTAAATTTTATTTTTTTGGTAATGATGTCATCGATCTTTGTCCAATAACAACTTTGTTTCATAATGGTTTATGACAAATGAAATAACGGCTTTTTGTACAGACTTAACCATTTCAAAGAGTACCCGAAGAAGCTAGTACCCTGCCACGTTACAGGAAGATGACGTCAAAGAAAACTGATAGGTGACGTGACGCGTGGACAACATTACTGTAATGACCTTAACTCTCCAAGCGATATGCATTTCAAGGGCACCTAAGTGTCATTGACGTCACCGAGAGAGAACGATCACCGGTCTAGATTATTTTAACTGAAATGCACAGACTACCGCCTTCGAATTTATTCTTATTTCTTCTTTCTTTTAATCTCTGTCCATTCACTAAACCGACAAAAAGTGTGTTCGTCTTTCGGTTTGTCTTTGTTTTCCAGCAAACCTCCATGTCCGCTGGATCTGGTTGTACCTCAGTCAGCCAAGTGAACTCTAGTCATGAAATGTAAGGGACTTTTTCATGAGCTTGAAATTTCAGCACCAGTGTTCACCACTGGCAACATCCAGGATTGCATGACGACATAAAATCCCTGATAAACAATTATTTTTGTTATTCCTTGTTCAGTAGCACAAATTTGTTCCTTTTTTTTTTTATGTTTTTCGTTTTTGTTTCACTTTTCTTAGTATCGTGCTGACAATATACAAGAAAACGGAATGTAAATCCATATGAAAAAACCCATCCAAAATTCATTTGCATTCTTATTCCACAAAATCTGTATGTAGGGCTTTAGCATTGTACCTTTCGCTTTTCCCATAAAAAAAACTTTTGTCTAGTTTTTCTTTTTTACTCCTCATTAACTTTGGTCTTCGAGTTAATTTGTGAACGTCTGCCCGTGTGAAGTAGTTTATGGGTCATCAAGCTGTGACATAATGAATGCCTTGTAAAAGTGCTTTGTCCCGCGTGCTTGTTAAGCAGTATACGAGACACAAAAACTAGTCAGTATTATATGATCGCGTGGACGTCATGTTACCGTGTCCGTGTAATGGCATTTCATTGTGACGAAAGTTTTCATATAGTACAACTGACTTTTCGTTTCGTCCTTCTAAGATTCGTCCATAAAGTGTTAACTCTAGAAACTAAAAATTTGGTAAAAGATTGTTAAGATATATCGAAATGTAAGGAGGTGTACTTACCTTGAATCAGAAAAATCAATATTAATCGAGTTCCAAATTATGTCAAGGACATTCTGAACCGCGCCAAAGGGTATGTTCATATATCATTCACAGCAGGCCTAAATAAAATATATTCAAATACACCTTGGAACTAGCTTACTTACACAGCAATAACTACCATTTATGAGAATGTTATGCTATTTGACTACTTAAGCCAATTTCATTAATGTGACATCGAAAATTGGTCAAAATGGTTTCTTCAGCAAACTTTGTCGGGCTTTATCCCAAGAATATATCAGCCGAATAACACGATTCAGTTAGTTAGCAGAAATCGGGCGTTTTAACAAATCTGATTCTTGATGTGACCTTTATAACATTTCTTTTGTAAACTTTTTCGACTTAACTCCAGTCAAATATCATGATACTATGCCATTTGGTTATTTGGATGCTATCGGTAAAGCAGTTTAACCTTGACCTTGAATGTAAATTATGTCTCTGGGGGTTCCTTGTTAGTCTGGACGCTTGGCAGTACATGACCCCTCTCAATTGGTTGGAGGGGGTCATAAAGGTAGTTCGCAGCAGCATTTATCTTCACCTTCTAACATGGTCAACCACTAGCCCTGTTAGACATTAATGACTTGTGAAAGGTCTCGCGGGTGAATTACCCGACTTTGGAAACAAAATGTTAAAGGTGTGTCAGTTGTAAATCAAGGGATTTTAGTAGGAGCGATGCTATTATAGTTGGTGTGTTCACTTGGGCCTCCGAGTCCTGTAATGGGTCTTTTCCTGCTTCTTGCATCCACTAAATGTGCCAAGGAGTTGACTACATGTTCACTGCAATCTAAGTATTCCTTGGGGCCCGGCGCTACAATTGAAATCGGGTCCGACTTCTCGACTTGGGGTAGCTGTTCCTAAATTCTAAGTGGAGGTTCACACTGAGAGATTCGTGTAATCATTGTCTTCTGGACCTGCAGGGGTTGAGTCTTTGGCCCAAAGAGTAGCAACTTTTTTGTGCAGTCTTTTAGGGAAATGAAGATCCATGTTGTACCACGGCCTTTCATAGCGAAATTTACACAATGATCACACTTTGTACTATTCTGCTGTTGAGGACTTCACTTCATAACGGACAGCAGGCCCGGGGTTCTTCTATAACTGACACGAGGAAGTTGATCTACGGTAGAACAGTAAAGCTTTGCTCTTTGGTTGCACCATGTGTTGGTGTGTGTGGTCAATGGGCAGTAGCCTTGTTATTGGAAGTTTTTTTTTGGGTTGCTGAGGACATGCCTCTTGGGATGTCCCTGTCGCGGATTGTTTACACCTGATGGTGACCTCCAGTATCCTTTAGCACAGGGAGATTAGTGGTCCCATACCTGTGCAGCATTGGATTAATGGCTCCATCATCGATGCTTTAGAGTAGGGCAGATTGGCCGCTTCAGTTGGAGCAGTAAGCCATTGGGGTGGTGTAGTGGTAACGCACTCGCTTTTCACCTAGCCGTCCGGGGTTCGATTCCCGGAATGGATGTAAAAATGGTACGGGATAACCGGCCACTTAGGTTTTCCCCTGGTAATCCGGTTTCCTCTCATAGTAAGCCCCCTCGCGAACTTCTGTTCAGGCCAACAAGAATGATTAATAAAAGCTGAAAAAACTTGTTTCTCAATTGTTGTAAAATAAATGAAGTTTATTATTATTATTATACTCTATTGGATTGGGTTGTAAAGCATTGGAGTTGTGGGCCAATCAGAATGGACGCCCATGACCAGTATGGCCATCACAGAACCATACCGGTTAGAAATGAGATGGTCTTCTAGTGCCCATTGAGTTCCGGGCCGTCAGTCTGTGGTCTTTGAATAACCGTACCATCTGTTCTGTCCAGTAGTGGCAGGGGTTCCAAGAATACTGGTCATATGGCTTGCTGAAATGCCGGCAATATAGTGTGCCTTTGGAGCTCTTGGAATTTTCTTATTTATGGCCGTGTGTCAACCATTTTGTTTTTCTAATCTGTTCTGATCAATCTAAAAATGAAACAAGAGTTCCGCAAGCGTTACAAAATACGCCCGTCCTAAGTTGAGCAACCAAACCTAATTTGCAAACGTACCAAGGGCCATAACTCTGTAAATAATTGTCGAAAAAAATTTTGTTATCGACCTTGACCTGGCTTTTATGGTAATAAACCTTCATGTGTTGTTTCAAATTAATCTGTAAAAAATATTCAAGTTATCGAACGGAAACCTATGTGCGCCCGCCGGCCCTTCCGCGTGAAAACATAATACGTCCCGTCTTTTGACGGGCGTATAAAAAGGGACAAGTCGGGCACAAGTGGAATATACATATTAAATTGTAATAAAAAAAAACCTTTAATATTCAAAGATGGCAGCCTCTCAGCAATTCAGTCCCAAAATCGAACGGTTACAACTAGGTACCAAGTAGCAAACATATGAAATTTGAAAAAAGATTCATCCATTTTCGTTGTCATTTTGTTTTTCTAATCAGTTCCAAAATTCAACAGGCACAACTAAGAGACAAAGGGGAACCTACATATGATCTATTCCGTAATTCTCAAGAAACAGGAATAAAAAAATTGCTGATGTATGGACCACAGACATAGGCAATTTGAATACCCCATCACCAGATAGCAGCCAAATAAAAACCAAAATGTCTGACCAACTAGGATTTTGAAAATGAAAGTTTGTTATTGCTATTCACGGAGAATTAAATGTAACTAGCTCAATATGTAGGTTACTTCTTGGTCACTAGTTGTGCCCTTTTGGTATTGGAACTAATTAGAAAAACAAAATGGCCGAAAGTTAGCCATCTTGAATTATGACAATGAAATTTTGTTTCAAAGTATCTTGAGAAGTACTAGATGAATTTTGTATGAAGGTTTCCCCTTGATCCCTCATACCCTTTTGGTTTTGGAATGGATTCACAAACAAAATAGCTGAAAGGTAGGGGCCTTTTCCCTGGAATACTGTAGATGGATTTTTTTTTCTAAATCATATGTAGGTTCCTCTTCTTTTCTAGTTTTTGAGTTTGGGATTGATCAGAAAAGCAAAATGGCCATGAGAAATCAATAGTTTGACAAAGGATATTATCGTTACTTCTTGGAGAATTTTAAAATTTCATATAATGAAGAGCAAGAACTGAGGAAAGAAGGGAAAAGATCCAAGTTTCAAAGAATAAATGAATTAAACAATGGTTGGCATCAAGATCCTTTTGAGATCTCATCAATATTCATAAACAAATGTATGTGTATTTCATCATACAATCTTTCCAAAGTTTGAACAGTTGCAATTTCAGTTTGTGATTCAGAAAACAAGTGTATTTAGTTTGAGACGAAACCATTTGTCATGTTGTAATAAAAACTCAATACAGTAGATGGATCATGTTAATTGTAATTTCATTTCCATCTTTATATCATATGTAATATGTATACATACAATTGCATGAACTTATACAACAGCAATGACAATTTCATTTCCATGTTTATATCATATGTAATATGTATACATACAATTGCATGAACTTATACAACAGCAATGACATATATAATATTTAGCTTCCTATATCATATGTAAAATAGTTGATGCTCTTAAAATGACCAAATAATCACCAATTTCATAACAACAACAACAACACATCCACTCTTACAGTCTTATACACTGAATCAGGAAAATTAAAATTTCTATTTACTCATTATAAAGAACTGCCTTTCTCCATTGTATTCTCAATTTTTGTCATCTCATATATAGTAATCAGCTATACACAATCAAACTTGTCTATAAATAATACTAAGGAGAACAGAGAAAATTGGTCTTTATAGACAAGTGGGCTTTATATAGAAGCTCATTTACCATGAATTGTATTATGTCAGGAATGAAAAACAAATGACAATTAAAAACAAGTGGCCTTCATGCAGAAGTGGCTTTAAGATAGGTTTGACTGTACTCGTAACTATCAAAGTACAGGGTCAAACAAAACTCAGTTACATTTAAAGTTTAGATATTACTTAAACGATTTTGGTTGTCCATATACAAGAACAGAGGTGTGGTCAAAGATAATTTTAAATTATGCACTGATATTTCATAACCGCAATACTCATACATGCAGTTAAAAAACTTGATCAATGACCATACCATAACGTTTCAGTGAAAATGAAAGACATATTTCAAAGATTCCTTAACTTAGATCTGGCAACAATTGACCCCACCTCCTAGTGTGAGATCTACTTAACATACATCCAGTAATTATAATTGATCATCAATCATCAGCTGGTTTGATGAATTTCCGTTTTTTAGATTTCTGGTGACTTTCCTCCAAATTAGATGAATTTTCTTCTACTTGTCCTCGGTTTCTTTTGCTGCTGAATTTCTTTGCTATCGTCCCAAATAACGACTGATATCTAGAACAGAAAGATAACAAATACCAGGTACAGAAGTGAATAGATGTGAACAATCCAGTCAGATATTTATCAATGTTCAGGAACAGCAAATAAATTCAAGGTGTTTAAAGGGACTAAATGGTTACATTTTGTTATTTTTTTTCCATGCATTTGATTTTGGGCAAATATCGTAATACTTACAATTAGGCAATTCACAAAATTATAACATTTTGAGAAAACGTGAGAAAGAGTATCAGATTTAAACGAACACTTGTTGATCCTTCTTTTATTTTTTTGATCGGAAATGTCTGAGTTTATCGCATGACTTTTAAGAATCGGAGATGTCTGAGTTTATCACATGATTTTTCAGAATCAGAGATGGCCGAGTTTATCACATGACTTTTCAGAATGGGAGATGTCTGAGTTTATCACATGACTTTTCACAATTGGAGATGTCTGAGTTTATCACATGACTTTTCAGAATGGGAGATGTCTGAGTTTATCACATGATTTTTCAGAATCAGAGATGTCTGAGTTTATCACATGACTTTTCAGAATGGGAGATGTCTGAGTTTATCACATGACTTTTCAGAATGGGAGATGTCTGAGTTTATCACATGACTTTTCAGAATGGGAGATGTCTGAGTTTATCACATGACTTTTCAGAATCAGAGATGTCTGAGTTTATCACATGACTTTTCAGAATCAGAGATGTCTGAGTTTATCACATGACTTTTCAGAATCTGAAATGTCTGAGTTTATCACATGACTTTTCAGAATCAGAGATGTCTGAGTTTATCACATGACTTTTCAGAATCTGAGATGTCTAAGTTTATCACATGACTTTTCAGAATCTGAGATGTCTGAGTTTATCACATGACTTTTCAGAATCAGAGATGTCTGAGTTTATCACATGACTTTTCAGAATCGAAGATGTCTGAGTTTATCACATGACTTTTCAGAATCAGAGATGTCTGAGTTTATCACATGACTTTTCAGAATCTGAGATGTCTGAGTTTATCACATGACTTTTCAGAATCTGAGACGTCTAAGTTTATCACATGACTTTTCAGAATCTGAGATGTCTGAGTTTATCACATGACTTTTCAGAATCGGAGATGACTTTTCGGAATTGGAGATGTCTGAGTTTATCACATGACTTTTCGGAAACTTATCGCTGCTTTGCTATGAATTCTAAATTTTTCATTCACATTGTTTACATTCTCGATAATGATATGAATTTGGGTTGGGTTCCTACGATTTTATTTCATTTCTTTGACATTTTCAATAAAATGGTTATGCAAACCTTAAAATATTATAATTAACAGAAAGTGCACAACTTTTAACAGATATTAAAATGCTATAATGCTTTTTATCAGTTATGAAATGAAAATCTAACCATTTAGTCCCTTTTAAAAGCTCACATTTAAAATGTACACTTGTATACTGCAGCATTAAGACTCAGTGATATAACCTGTGAAAAAGCTCATTTAACTTTCTTTCTTGATGCAGTTGAAGCCTTCCAGGCAAGGCAAGTACAGGATACACAGAAAGTGGTTGTTACATTCGTTTTAGTTATTTTTCAACAGTTACAATAATAAAAAATGGTTTTATGGAAAGTTTTTGGTACTTTAGAAAAACTAAATAACTTTTCAACAGCTACAATAAAAAAAGTGGTTTTATGGAAAGTTTTTGGTACTTTTGAAAAACTAAATAACAAGAGTGACGGAAACAGGGTGCCTAGTAAACTGTTTACTCAAGACTTTGGGAAGTTGAATAAACAGTCATCTATAAAGCAATCTAATCATTTTCACCCCAACAATTATTTCCCTTTCTTTTCAAGCTTGACTGAATACAATAGGCATGAGTAAGTGTTGCTTACACATGGAAATAAAAGCATAGAAACAATGGAACTCTAGCCCTTTCGATGATGATATTACCAAACATCTTCCTCCGGTTATCATTATAATTCATTTACAATATAAATAGTGCTTACGATGAATTAACAGAAATTTAGGTATTGAATCTTAATGATATCATCAGTTCATTAAGTAATGAAATCAACAATTCTATTTACAAGGCTGAGCCACCAGTTCATCAAATCAATGATCCTATTTTCACTGTAAAAATCTAAATTTAGAAGCATTTGAACTATTGTCTGTAGCATACAGGTAAACACAAATATGAACTCAAGGAACACCTGTAGGACTTCAGTGCTATGTTTAATTGATCCAATACACAATGATTTTAATCATAAAGTAAAATAAATAAAGTTATGTTTGTAGTATTCTAAATTATCCTAGTTAAATGAACTTTTTCTTCTCAAAGTCTTGAAGTACATGAAGGTTTAGAGACTTTCAGTCAAATCACTAAGACTTTGCCATTTACAGATAAAATAATGAATCCTCTCTGTACCTGTGTGCCATTTCTTCTTCCTCCACACCTATCTCCTTCTCCTTCACTTCTGCTGCATCTAACTCTACTGCACTATTGTGACGTTTCATCAGTTTCTGACAACAAATCCAAAATGTTTTATAGAAAATATCTAATTTTTTGAAATTGAAAAATACATAAGAGAGTATTCCAGCCATATGAGATAAAAGTATTTTAGGGCAGAACAATATGCACTCGTCCCATGCATTAAAATATATAAAATAGAGAAATCAAACAATAATCATTAAATGAAAATTATACATAGAAAGCCTACAAAATTTAAAACAATTTGGTTGAAAATTGAGGGAGGGGATATTTAATCATATAATGGAAAAGTTAAAAATAGGAAATTGCAACTTCAAAATATCATCAAAACAAAGAGATATAAAGAAAACACAGCATGTTCATATGATTAAGTACACTAAGTATCAAAGAGATCGGACAAAAACAAAGAAAAGAAACCTCTATGTAAAAGAAAATTTCCACAAAATTTCAAATCTAAAATGGGAATGTATTAGAAAACATAACTTCATATTGTATTCATAAAGACGGTTATGTTTCAAAGACAACTGAGGGAAGAGATCTCCAGACAAGATTAAAATGTTAGTAAAGGGCAATAACTGTTCCGAAGCATTTGGAATCAGGAAACAATACCAAGTCATGACGATAAAACTCTGGAACTTTTAAAGAGATCATTTTTTAATTTTTCAAAGAGAAATAAAAGTTTATCTGAGACTGACGGATGGACAATCCCATACTACAGGCTGTCAACCATGTCTTCTTCAAAATATAGGAGGAATATAGGAATAATTTTTCAACAAATATAGAAGTTTTTTGCTAGTTTTGAGGCAAAATATAGGAGTTTTCCAAACAAAAATAATTTCATTCAAAGGCAATTATACTAACAATTCTTACCTTCACTTACTGTTTCTATATTAATCAATGATTAAAAACTACCTTAAAATAACTATTCACTTCAACAGCATCACAATCCAGACAGAGAGCTACTGCATAGCTCACCATCATCATTTCTGAATGGGCACCTAAAAGGCCAATATCCTGTTGTACTGCCTTGCAAGGTGCCCATACAGGTGATAAAGAGATGCACTGAATCATTTTCTGGTGGCTGGTGATGCTGTTAAAGACTTAAGAATTCTCTAACTTATAAAATAAAGAAGCCAAAAGCAGTATCAAAGAAATATTTACAATCTCTTCATTTATCGGCGACAAATTTCTTTAAAAATATAGGAAAATTTTTCAAAAATTAGGAAAATATAGGAGGTCTTTCAAAATATTGGTTTTTGAACCAAAATATAGGAAAATATAGAATACAGGAATATAGGAATCGGTTGACATACTGTAATATAGTTCCATCAATTTTTGTTTACATACATAGAAAATGTGTAGAGGTATTCCTAAGTTATAAAAACCTATGGATCAAACAGCCTTCATGTGTAATCAAACTTGTGGATGACATACAACTGAACATCTTTAGAGCACCTCCAACCTGTAATCACCATGTATACATGTAGTCAACTAAGATAGGACATGTGTTCATGTGATGTAATAATCTCCTTACCTCTATTTCTGGGTTGAAACCACAGTAGGACATTCTCCCATATTGAAGATTTTCAATTCTCACAAGACTTGGTTCAAAGATGTATTTATTCCTGAAAACAACATTTGTAAATATAGATTAATCATGTATAACTTTTAGGTACCTGTAATTGATGCAATTAGCTAAAAACTACATGTACCAGGTACTCTAGGTCAGCAGGAACAAAAATTTCATTGGGAAATCCTAATGTTATAAAACATTCTACACTGTACCACATACAGAATTTGCCAGTTTCATACTGAATTTACAATCTAAATAAACAATTGAGGAATGTATTAAAAATTGTATTTTGAAAAATTCAAAAATGAAATTAAGAGCTAAGTAGAGAATTCAGAAGTCATCAAGTTCCAATCCATGTCTAATCATCTGATAGACGTGTGTGGTACAAATGTGTTCTATCAGGTAAAATCTATCTGGAAATTTTAATAAAACAATGCTGCAAATTCCTTATCAGTCTAATAATGCCTAAAAATACCATCAAGCAAGATAGCTACATGTCACTATGGTACTTCCATCATTATGCAAAAAAATCCTTAATGTATATTTAACAAGAAACTCTGGAAACCAGTGATTAGTTCATATACAAACTCCAATGTCTGTGTTGCTGGAAGATCCAAAACCCAATGCTCATCATCAATGTCTTTGTTTTCTTCCTCATTCAGCTCTTTCTCTATGCGTATTGCACTCCGCTGCATAAACTGAAATTGACATTGGAAAAACTAAGGACTGAACTATCATTATAATGTGTTACAACCAGTTTAACAAATTTAACTCAAAGAAACATATGAAAAGGAATTTGAAGGCCTGCATCATACAACAGTTCTGCATGTAAAACCACAATTTTGTCTTTGTTTCATTTAATATCTTGGAAAGCCATTGAAAATTCAATGTTTTTAATTTTTTTCCATTTTCACAGTACAGTCATATACACTAGAGTAGTGAAATACCTGTAAATGTCCATCAATACAATATCCAAAAATAATATTAATATTACTAAAGACAAACTGATGTCCAAACGTATACAGGTCACATTGCCCTTTAGGAACAATTAGTTATTCAAATGCAAAATCATTTGAAAAAGAAATTCATAAAGTTCTTTAAACCATTTGCAATCATAAAGGGTGCCATCTTTTTAACGTGAAACAAAAGCCAATGCAACAAAGACATTTGCATAAAAAATATTCATTCCTGTTACATGTATCTAATTTGGTACTGAAATGACAATTTGTATTACTGACCTAGTGTATAACCATTTCAAACATTTAAATAATGCAAGGTCACTTTCATGTTATCCCTGTCGAAATGGTATTTTTCCATAATAACCAAATGCATCTGTACCAGATGTTGGAAATGATACATGTAAAGCTCAAAATACAGAGTTTTGGAATTCCTTAGCAAACATAAAACAATGAAACAATAATAAAATGGCTTCCATTTTAAACCTGTGTGATATTGAAAAACACCTTGACACCACAGGGGCTCGAACCAATAACCCTTCTATCTATAGTCAGACACTACCACCGGACTGAAGGGAAATTCCCAGTGGTAAAGTCTTGTAAGGTGACCTGTACTTAAAATTCTACACTAATCCTTTATAAATTCTTTGACCCAGAAGACAACAACAACCTAGGTTCAATATCTCAAAGGAAGCATCTCAATATCCTATAGCTTCTACCCTTGGAGTGGTCCAAATCACTACAGCCAAGATATTAACGTTCACTAGCATTGCTATTAACCACGTTTTCGATTCTCACTGGCCAACAAAATGGCACAAGTCAGGCAAGTGAAAACTCCACACTATCTACAACACTGAAGATAATGGGGCAGAGGTAGATAAGATTAGATCAAAACAGTGAAAAGAGGAGGTTTTGATGACTTCATGGCCTATATAAAAGCTGATGTCGGCGATCTCCAATGAACCTATGTTTCTTAACCCTCAATATGATTTAATAGGAATTTAATAGAAAAAATAATGGATGCAGGCTGTAAGCCTCTATATCCATATCAATGAATTGTACATATACAAAAATAATTTGTTTACTTCCGATGTACATTGCATTTTTAACATTTAACCAGTAATCAATCTTATTAATTAATTAGCAGAGAGTTTCAAATAATTGTCCAGTAATATTTCAAATTGTATAACATTATTTGCATCTATTATATATTGTGGTAAACTATTCCATTTATCTACAACTCGAAAACTGAAAAAGTTTTTTCTGATATCCAAAAGGCATTGTTTCTGGTTTTACTGTTGATATCCATCTTGAAAAAGTTAGTAGTGACTCGTTTATCGTAAATGTTATTTAAGATTTTGTAGACATTAATCATATCCCCTCTGTTTCTGCGATATTCCAAGGTTGGTAGGTTTAATTTCCGTAAGCTTTCCGGGTATGTTGGGTTTTTATATCCTGGTATGAGTTTTGTTGCTTGCCTCTGTACGTTCCCTATCAGTTCAATATCTTTGGTTTTATATGGACTCCATACACTCGAGGCATACTCCAAATGTGGCCTTACGAGTGCCTTAAATAATAGTTTAAATATTTTATCATCCATAAAGGTAAACGATCTTCTAATGACTCCCAAAATGCTGTACGCCTTGTTCACACCAAGTTGGATATGTGTTCTAAAACTTAGATCTTCATCAACAGTCACACCAATATCCTTTTCAGAAGTTATGTTTTCTAGCTGTATTTGTTCGCCTGACGGTCCTGACATGTAATATTTTCTTTCTTCCGCAGATTTAATTGATAAAACGTTGCATTTACTTGGGTGAAACTTAGGTAGCCATGTTGCTGACCATTGTTGGAGTTTAGTCAAATCATTCTGTAGAATAGTTATATCATTGTTACTTCTGATTTGCCTGTATAGTTTGGTATCATATGCAAATAAGGAAGATTGGGATTCTGGAATTTCAGGTAGATCATTAATATATATTACAAATAATATAGGACCAAGAACACTTCCTTGTGGGATACCGCTTACTACTGGATATGTCTGACGATTCTCCATTAACTATTACTCGTTGGCATCTGTTGTTCAAATAATCTTTTATCCAATTGATGACCTGGTTTCATATTCCATAGACTTCAAGTTTCTTTATCAGACGCTGATGTGGGACTTTATCAAAAGCTTTCATGAAGTCCATGTATATTACATCCAGTTGTCCTCCTTTATCAATGACTTCTGTCCATTCTTACAAGACTTAATAATTGCAACTGTGTGGATCTTCCGCTGACAAAACCAAACTGCTTATTACTAAGAAAATCATTTTTATCCATGTGATCGACTATGTTATCTCTAACTAGTTTTTCTTAAGTTTTCCCTATTACGCTGGTTAAGCTGACTGGTCTATAGTTTTCCGTCTCTGATTTTGAGCCTTTCTTAAAGATGGCCGTTACATTTGCTTCTTTCCATGCTTTTGGTAATGTTCCTTCGCGCAGTGATTGGTTAAAGATTTCTGATAAAGGTGTACTGATTTGCTGTCTCAATTATTTTAGAACTTTGGGATGCATCAGATCCGGGCCTTGGGATTTATTTTCATTTAAATCACTTAGAAGTTTTACACCCCCTATTAAAATTGACGGAGGCAGAGACGTATATACGTCTCTGATGGAGGTGATGAAGTTGGTTATTTTTTTTTTAAAACGCATGACTACCGAATTATTCACGTTTTTACAAATGTACAATCGGACTATGTTGCGAATGTTTCAATTTCAAATGTTCCTGCATTTGAGTTACTAAAATGAGTTTTGAACTCAAGACGTCAGAGAATTTTTATAACCTGTAATAGGGAGGTCAGCTCAAAAAATGAACCACCTAGAAAACATTTTAAAACATGTTTTTTGGACAAAACTCAAAGAAAGAGGAATTTTGGTGCAAAAATTTTGGAAATCGGTTGAGCGGTTCAAAAGTTACATCAATTTTTGTACCTCGAAAAGCGACCCTTTTTCTGTTTTTAGCAAATAGTCTCTAAAAGAGGCATGTTTGAGGCCTTATATCTGAAAATGTGGTTATGATATGTATTGTCTGATTGTTGTAGGGTGCCAAGTTCCCCTTAAGCTTCAAAAAGAAACATTTACTTAGTTTAGGTGGGGACAGATAAAAAAAAAATTGGCAGCTGAACATGAGGAATTATTCGTTTGGACTTAGTTTTTTTGAGAAATGTGTCGGCACCCCTCTTTGCTAGACTACCACTTTTGAAGAACTTTATCTTAAAAAGTAATCACCCAATTTATCCAAATCTCCTTATTTTTACAGATCACAATGCATTTTCTTGAAAAAAAATTCCAGTTAGGGTTTAAGATCATTATTTTTTTTAATATTTTGATATCAAATACCCTGCGCAGCCCCTTTTTGAGACGAAATCGAAAATTTCAGAAAAAATGACTTTTTTGATGCAGAAAGCTCAAAAAAAATCTGGAATTTTTTTTATATGGTGTTTCTTGTTGATCTTTGTATGTTTTATCAGAAAATATGTAATATTTCCCCTAAAAAATTTTTTTGAAAGCAACAGCTCCAAAATACAGCTGCCAAAGAGGTATATTTTTAGCCCCGAAAAGACGAAAAATAACATTTTTTCAGCACAAAAAGATCTTCAACTACTCCCAGGTGGTAATAAAATGACAATTTATATAAGAATGCTTATTTCTACATACAAATGATCAAGTTTTAACTCAAAACAACAATTTTTTGCAACATTTAAGGTTGTTTTTCTACGTTTTGAAAATTTTGGATAAAACCTGAAATTTGTGTTTAATCATGAAATGCGAGAAGAATATAAACTATTGTATGGTGTATAAGGTATCATTTTAAAGATAGAAATATGTAGAATGCAACTAGCACATATTTGTACCTCTATCTATTAACAGCACCAAGTATTTCTATAAAAACCTAGCCCTACCCCAAAATCAAACATTCTCAGAAGGTGAACCCCCCCCCAATTTTTTTTTTACTCCTACAAACAATATCATTTGAGAAAAAATGTTCCTGTTGATATTAGTTCACCTTTTATAAGCCTTAAGAGTTGAAACACGGTTATTCTTGTCTTTATAAGTTTATCCTTAAGATTAAGATAAAAGCACAAAAAATAGGTAAATCTGTCATTATCTAGCATAAGTTATTTTTAACATCAATGTTAAAATTTAACGGTCATAAAAATTGTTATCTAATTAATTCATTGATAGTATTGAAAAAAAAGTAAAAACAATCATCACATACTTATCAAACTGCAAATAAAAAAGTGTATTGGATTGTAAATAAAACTTATCACACTTACCAAAAATAAAATGAAAATCAGTATATCAGAGCGTGTAAAAAAACTAAAAAGAAAATAAATCAAAATAATTTTTTTTTTTAGAAAAAGATTTATTTAGATTAAAAATTAAATAAAATAAATCACAATTATTATTCTTCCTCTGAAAAATTTGACAACTTAAAAAGAAACCAAAATAAGGTAAAATAAAACTTAAATAAATAAAAGAGATTTTAAAAAGTGTCATAAATTAGCAAAACAATTAAAAATATAAAGAATTTCAACAAAATAAATAAAACAACTTTCTTTCACTTCAACAATACCCCCTTGCATTGATAAAGAAGGGCAGTTCTTACATTCAGAAGGAATTTAACAACCAAGATATAGACCAAAATCAACTTTCTGAGTTAAGAAGAATGGGCTAGTTGAGAGGGAGTATAATCATGA